TGCCATTTTACATTTCTATCACTTTCATATGAAAGCATCAGCTCCTGTCAGTGGTTGATATGGTTGCTTCTTGTAAAGTTTTGCCCTTCTGCCAGGTAGTGGTATTTTGTTGAGATTTGAAATTTGCATTTCTCTAATGGTTATATTGCGTTTCTTCCATGTGCTCATTCCTTTCATCTGTATATACTGTTTGGTGACTTTCTTTTTAAGTCTGGTGATTTTATAAATTGGGTTTTGTTTTCATAGTGTTGAGATTTACAAGTTATTCTAAATACAATAATTTATCATAATTCTAATAATTTACAATTTGCAAGTTAGTGTACATACAATAATTTATCATTTATTGTTGAAACAATTCGGAGTAAATCAAGTGTCGATCAACAGTTGAATAGGAAAACAAATGGTGGTTCATAGTCATACAATGAATAGTACTCAGCAACACAAAGCCAAGGACTACTGATGTACAAAAACATAGATGAATACAAAATAATCAAGTTAAATGAAAGAACCCAGAAATAAAGAATTTATATTGTAAAAATTTATACTCAATGCTAGTCAATAAAATCAGCTTACAGTGAAAGAAAGAACAGTGGTCCCATGACTGTGGGGGGCACAAGGGAGTGAACAGGGAGGATGGTAAAAAAGCGTGAGGTGACCGGTATCTTCACTGTTTTCACTGTGGTGAATATGGTGTATAAGTTTTTTGCCTGTTAGTCTGACTGTTAATTTGTATGTATGATAATTAACTTCATAGTACTTATACAAAATAAATAAATCATTCTAACGCTGGTAAAAAAAGGGGGATATTGAGAGAAGAAAAAAAACCGAGATGGGACATGGTAATGTACCAATTCCCCACAATGCATAAAAACGTTATGGATTGCAAACATGTCCTAATAAAAATAAAAAATTTAAAAAAACCAAAAAGAAAATCATATCAGAGTTTCAGAAAGAATGGAAAACCACAAAAAATATTTTTCCAGATATATATTTTGGCAAGATTTTTCTTTGTTCTGTGGTTTGTCCTTTCATTTTCTAAATGTGTATTTTGAAGAGCTACATTTAAAATTTTGATAAATCACAATTGATCTATCTGTTCATTTGTTGAACGTGCTATTGATCTCATAGCTAAGAAATTTTTATCTATTTGAATATTATAAACATGCTTTTCTGTTTATTTTTAGGTCTCCAATCAATTTTAGTTAACTTTTGTATCTAGAGGAAAATGTGTATCGTAGTTTGTTTTTAAAATAACTGTTGCAGCAGCATTTTTTGAAAGGGTATCTTTCCTCAGTGCACTAGTTTTGTCTCTGCAAGTGACAAAAGTCACTTGTCTATAAATTATTTAGCAGGGAGATTATGCAGTGTTTGGTTGAATGTGGTCTTGGCTTCATAATATAGCCTAAACCCATGCATTTGTGACACTCTTGAATCACACAGAAGTGTCATTTTTTTATTCAATAAGGTGAGTTGCAGGAATTATTATCCACATGGAAAATATGTTAATGAATGCCTACCTCATGCCACATCAGAAAGGTGTCACTAACTCCAACTGAATCAAAAATTTAAACGTCTAAAGCCAAAGTTTTAAGTCATTTAACAAACAAAATTACGTATGTAACTACCCCTCTGTGATACCTCAATATTTTTTAGAAATACAGAAGATGCAAAAGGAACTGGTAAAACCAACATAGTTAAGCATTTATTTCTCCCCAGATTGATCTATTGATTAAAATCAACTCAAGTCTGGGCTGGGTATATAGCTCAGTGGCATAAGCGCCTGTTTGGCAAATGCAAGGTCCTGAGTTCGATTTCTGGTACCAAAATAAAATCAAATCAGAATCCTATTAGACATTTTTGGAGTGGTGGTGGTGGTAGAAATTTACATTCTGCCATAGTCCATTAGGGCTAATATAACAACTTACCATTGACTAAATAGCTTGTAAGTATCAGAAATATATTTCCTGTATTTCTGGAGTTTGGGAAGTCCCGAAGGCAGACTTGATTTCCAGCAAGAGTGGTTCCCTGGTTTGTGGGTGGTGTCTTCTTAGTGCGGGCTCATGGTGGGCAGCACAAACAAACACCAGGAGCACCAGTCCTGTTTGTGAGGGCCCCATCTTCATGATCGAATCACCTCCTCAAGCTCTATGTTTTAATCTCATCACCCTGGAGGTTACATTTGAGCATGTGAGTTTGGGCAGAATACAGACAATCTGACCACAGCTGACCCTCATTTTAGGTTTTTAGAACAGTTTTAACTTTACAGGAAGAATGCAATGATAGTACAGGGTTTCATCTACAGGGATCTACAGGATACTACAGGGTGTCATCTCTTCTACAGTTTCCCCTATTATTAACATGCTATATTAAATAGTGCATTTTCACAATAAATCAAAATATACATATTTTATTAGTGCATATTAATTAGACAGAAGAATGGGTACATGCACATAAGGCACTTTGATCGTTTCATCCATCACCCCTTGCCCTCTCTTTCCATTGCTCTCTTCCTTATTTCTTCATTTTTCTCCAGTAGTATCCCAGGTACTTACATATTTCCTCTCACTCTCTGTATCTGCTTCTGTCTGTGTCTCTGTCTCTCTCTCTGTCTTTCTATGTCTCTGTCTCTGTGTCTCTGTCCCTCTGTCTCTCTATTTGTCTCTCTCTCTCTCTATCCCATGTATTCCCATATACATTTCTTTTCTTTTTTTCTCTGGTTTACTGTTCATGACATGATAGTCTCTAATTCCATCCATTTTCCTGCACTTGACATAATTTCATTCTTCCCTATCAGTGAAAAATACTCCATAGGTTAGTGATAAAGCACTTGCCTAGTGTGGAGAAGGCCCTGAGCTCAGTCTCCAGGACTAGCACCATACAAAAAAAAGTTAAAAAAAGCATAGTGTGTAATCTACTTGATGATTTGCTGCATTCTGTTTGCTAGTATTTTACTGAGGATTTTTGCATCTGTGTTCATTAAGGAGATTGGCCTGTCGTTCTCTTTTTTGGTTGGCTCTTTCTCCAGTTTGGGTATCAGGATAATACTTGCCTCTAGGAACGAGTTAGGGAAAATTGCTCCCCTTTCAATTTCATTAGAAGCGTGAGAAGAATTGGCATTAAATCTTTTCTAAATTTCTTGTAGAATTCGCTTTGAATCCATCAAGACCTGGGCTTTTCTTTTTTAAGTTTTAAATTACATGAACATTTTTTATATATGTATTTGCTGTTCTGTTTCTTTTCTATATCTGAGAAGTGTCTATGTACTTTAGTTGCACTTTTGTTGTACTTTTTGGATTGAGTCTAAACTTAGGGGGTTTGATTTTTCTGATTTCTTTATACGTTCTCAATCATATAATAATTATATGCAGTAAGGAAGCCCTTGATATGCCAATTTTACCCTCAGGAGATAAAATGTAATAATGGTTATGGAAAAAACAAATAAATAGAAGGAGAGGAAGAGATTAGAAGCAAGGCTGGAGCAAAGGGGGATCAGGCAAACTTTGGGAAACTGGTGCACAAGACAGGAGGGAAAGAGTGATGGAAGAAATAAAAGGAAAAACAGAACAGAACAACAACCATAAAGAAACTAGAAACTATGTTCATACTCAGATAAAAACAAGATCAAGCAATTAGGGAGAAAGAAAATGCGAGAGAGAGAGAGAGAGAGAGAAAGAGAGAGAGAGAGAGAGAGAGAGATGTCCACTTCCAGGTTTGTCTGTGCTGTCACTGGTAGACAGTGTGTGGAGACAGAGTCCAGATGAATGTTGTTTTATCCCAGCAGCCAACTGTAGCTTTATGGCAGGGTAGTAGATAATCTGAGTGAGCTTGTACCTTTATTTCCCCTGAAGTTCAGGCTGGTTTCTGGCCATGAGGCTGGGACCAGACCCATTCAGCCTTCAGCCATGAGCTCACCCTCTGCGGGCTTAACTTAGTTGGGAGTCTCTGGATGGTCCCAGTAGTTAGTTGTTCTGAGTTCTGACCTCATTTGGCCACTCTCCAAAGTGGCTCTGAGCCAGTTACCCTCTCCCACACACTCACCATCACATAGTGCGGTCCCCCACATTTGTTGTTCCCTTCCAGTGTTTTGTCTGTCCGTGGAGACCTCCATGGAGGCCTGGTGTTGCCAGCAGGCACTGTATGTCTGCCAGCTTGAACTGCTCCTCTCACATACCGCGTCCTGATTCAGTGAGAAAGGTCCACTGGCTACCTCCTTCTTCTTCACTGAAGTTTCTCTCCTTGCTCTTTCCGTGGGCCTCAGTTCTTGTTTGTGATTCTTCATAGGTCCAGGGGACCCACTTCCTTTCTTCTTGTCTTCCTTGATTTGCTATATTCTGTAGTCTGGACAACAACTTTCAGAGAAGCTCTTTCTCTGCTCTCCTCTGAATCTTGATAATTTACATGGCCAATGAATTGCTTAAAGGAGGACAGAATCCACAGTATAGAGAAAATGCATCTGCTTAACATTTATTCAAATCAAAATATATTTATCTAGTTGTAATGTGTTTCTGGTGTTCGCTGTGCATCCTTTCTTAGTGAGGTACTGATGACTTTCTTTCCAAGGAATATCCGATATTTGGTGCCTTGTGTGAGCTGCATCTTCTTTTATTACTATGATCAGTGTCTTTGGCCTCAAACTCTACCCTTGGTCCAAACTTATCTGATGAGTTTCAGTAGTCAGGTACAATTGCTGAGAACTCCAAACTAAAATGCTTCTTTTGCTTCAATGTTATAAGCTTTCAGTCTTGGCTATTGATGCATGGCTCACTGTTCATGCATTATGCTAAGTACGTGTACACAGAATCCATAAAGAACTTTCATAACGCAATATTAAGAAGACAAACAACACAATAAAATATTAGCACAAGATTTTGTTTTTGGTTTTTTTTTGTTTTTTCTTCTGGTACCAGAAACCAAACTCACGACCTTGCGCTTGGCAGGCAGGCACTTTGCCACTGAGCTAAATCCCCAACCCCTTGGCACAAGCTTTAAATATACATCTTATCCTAGTAGATGTGTGGTTGATGAAAAACTCAAGAAAAATGTTTACATAGTTTATTCATAGGGAAATACAAATTAAGGTTAAAATACCATACACCCTTATCAAATGGTTTTACAGATGGACAATCCTAAATGTTAAAAGGGTGTGGGCAAATGGAACTTTACTCTGTCACTGGTAGGAATGCAAAATGGTACAATTACTTCAGAAAGCAGTCTGGAAGATTTTTACTGATGAGGAAATTGAGAATCAAACTTTGGATTTGTGAAGGAGTAGAGAAGTATTGGGTGTGGTACAGGTAGGAGATTTATACTTGATTAGAGACACAGTTCCATTTCTTCAGTACCTCTTAGAAGATAGTGGATCATAGAGTAGTTCAGAACACTTCATACAGAATCATGACCTTCTTTACTATTTTATCACTTCCTAACAAAATGGTCATGGTAGTCCTGGAAGTTTATAGAAGACCTCTAAGTTGTGTGAACTGCTGACAGAACTATGGTTCTTTGTCCTCATCAGACATGCTGGTGCTCTTTTCCTTCAGCAGCTTACACTCTAACATGTGGTTAGTTCATCTTCATGTGAAAGGAGCAGAATTGGTGAGTCTGTTGCACGTCATTCTAATAAGTTTCCATTCACCTCAATCAGAGGGTACCATACACATACACCCAACAAAAAAGCTTCCACAGATCTGGGTTTTCATAAGGAAAATTATTGTTTGTTTTGTTGATGATGTTCTCATTATGTGGCAGCAAGACAAACATTTTTCCTCTCACAGATATAGGTTATTAATCTGGAACAGTTAAGAGCAGTCATCTTTGTGGGTGTTATTCTTCCACAGTTTTCAGACTCTGACTCTCTCCAAGCACTGAAAGTAAAATAAAAGCAGTAAATGTGGTAAAATAGATATTCAGTACTGCAGATAGAATACAACATCACATCCAAAATGAGGTGATATATTTTCTTTGGTTATAGAGACCAGACCTCAGTGCCCAAACTGATCCCCCAGAGAACATTACCAGGAACTCAGGTGTAGAATTAAAGGTGAAAAAGGCTTTTTTCTGCATAGCCTCACCTCTGTAGCTAAGCTTAGGTCCCATGGAGGTGTATGTTTATGGATGTGCAAACTATATCTTTATACATATGTATGTGTGTGTGTGTGTGTGTGTGTACATGTAAAATGTACATATTCTACCTGTAGGGCTTCAGGACTCTGAACCAGAACTTGCAGTTCTAGAACTTACTAGCTCTTATCCTATTCTAGAGGCTTACCTTTGGATAATGGGTGTTGATTTGTCTTCCCATGTCCACGGGCTACTTGTTCCTTCACGGGACAATCCAATCCAAGAGAAATAAGATATTTGGCTTTGAATAAAGTTCTGTAATAGAGTATCATCTATAGGTAAGAATATATTTATGTTCCTGAAATGAGTTATTAATTTTGTTAATAATTTATATTTAATGTGACTATCATGTAGTATAAGAAAACTTTCTTTAGAAGATCTTAATGTAATAAAATAATGATATCTCAATTATTAAAACTTTACTAAGTGTAGAGGCATAAATAAGACCTAAAATAACCTTTGGTTCATTCATGTGTATTGAAACTCAGCTGAAATCTCTTAAATATCTCTTAACACTCATGCTTGTGCCTCAAATATGAGTTTTGAGCAGTCTGATTTGTATTTTGGGGCCCATGTATGGTAGCTATGAGATTTATAGCACTGTTGTTTTATATTTTTATTCCATAATATTGTGTTTATTCCCCATGAAGTAGGCACGGGGAATTCTAATAATTCAGACTATTACTTTTCCCCATCAGATGAGATGTCTACCTGGCTGACTGAGTATGTGACAAGTATGAAAGTAACAAATATTCATCCAGCTATGTGTCACTTAAGGACAGAAGCATGTTCCAGGAGATGCATCATCAGGTGATTTCTTTATTGTGTAGACACTGTGGAGAATACCTCCCCAATCTCAGGTTGTTATGAAGTCACTTGGCAATGTAATATTTCATGACCATTGTCTATCATTGATTAGACAAATTTCCTTATGCAGCAGGTGACTGTATGTTAATTTCTGCGAAGCCTTGCACATGTTATTGGATTTTCTCTTCAAAAATATGTTGGTATGAAAATTTTGTCTGTTTTATTACCTGCTTCACACTTTTTCCAAGTGTAGAAACTGGTATCTTGATTGTTTTTTTCACACAAATAATGACATAGAAAGAATTAGAGCGAGTTCTTCTGACTATGGTGCCATGTCTATCCATATTTGTAGTTTTCCCTTCCTTTTTGTTTTGTAACCCTTTGAAAACATGATGAAATCTTAGATCATCTATTTTCCCTAAATGCATGTATGCATCAAGACATAACATTTGATGTGCAAAGTCTGGGTATTCATAGATGATTTATTTTTCAATAAAGAAACTCTGCAGGAAAACATAGGAGATCCAGATTCAGCAACTCATTCTCAGACTGTATATCCATGAACCCTACCCTACAGTCTCTTACATCAAAGACATTATTAATTATTCAGCTCAGAGCCTTTATGCTATCTTTCTAAAATTATATGTCTCTAAAAAAGCTAGGTATAAGTAAAGGTACAGCCCTCCCTTGAAAAAATATTCCACAGTCTAATATATCTTACTTCTTTTCTAATTTTCTATAGTGCATATAGTTGTATAAATAATTCCTGAAATTATGTTATCATCTACATAAATTCTATGGTTCTTATGCAAGAAGATTATAAGATCCTTTCATATATTAAAATGTTATTCTTATTTATGTTGAAGATAAATTTCATATTCATACCACTTCCTAGCTACTTTTCTATATACTGTATTTCCATAGCTAATTTGAATTTTATTTTTAAAATATCTAATATCTTTATGCCATCAATAGCAATTACATCTTCTAAGGCAGCAGATGCTGAATTAATTCAGCCTCTATACTTGTCTTTTTCTGGACTCAGATTTTGTTTGTTTTTTGTTAACATTTTTAAAAGTAATTTCAGAGTTGTTGAAAGCCATGTAAAAAGTAGAAAACTGGACTAGGTCAAAGAACTGAATGATTTTTAGCATCTACTGACCTACTTTTGAGAAGATATTAATAGATTATCCTTTACCCAAAACAATAGGATTTGTTTCTTTTGTAGCAGGAATAGTGATACATTATTTCTATAATTTGACAATAAAATTTCAAAGCAAGACGCAACTATTAGTGTATTGAAATATATAAATATACAATATTCAATTTCCTATGTAAGATAGTATATGCTCAAAGTTAACCTGAGGTGGAATTAATTAATTTTTAATTTTTAAAGTGTTTTTCCTTTAATCTCAAACTCAGTGTTTATGCTGTTTTTTTCTTGATACTGTTAGAAGTATAAACTTTTCATAGAGAGCCTATTGCTAAATTTCAGTGAAATACTCAGTATAAGATATACAAAGTGTCATCCAAAAATAGGATGAGTGTTTCAATGTTTTAAAATATTATTGCAATAAAGGCACTTTGCCGTTAGTCCCCTTCATAACACTTTCCTTATTTCAAACACACTTATCCCATTTTCTTGTCATTTACTGAAACAGTTTTGAAAGTGCCTTTTCTTATACTTGTACTATCATGGCTGCTTCAGTGCTGTGAATTAATTAAAAATGCTTACCTTTCATGGTCATTTTGACTTTGGGGAAGAGCTGAGGCTGCATGATGCTAAACCTAGTGAACAAGGGGGATGAGGGAACCCCACAGTATTTTCCCAAGTCTATCTTTCCATGAATGTCAGTGGGCAGCAGCAGCAGCAGCAGCAACAGCATTCACCCTATTTTTGAACATACTTGTAAATACATTCATGAAATAGGACTTCCAGAATTCCTTCAGAAAGTGGTAAGAATGATGGAATAAGTGTGTTTGAAGCAAAGACAAGTTTTTTGAAGGCAAATAATGGCACTGATTTTTACTGTAATAATATTTAAATTTAAACATTTGGTATGTATTTGGATCACTATTTATACAATTTTTGTTAATGTCAGGTGGGCAATGTGCCAACACAGTAACAAGGTTAGGGCAAGGCACATCTGATGCACATGGCATGAAAACCCAGCCATCACGCTTGTGAACTGAAGGGCTTTACATAACTTTCATTGCCTGAGCATCATCTATTTTAAGGACAACTTTTTCTGATGACCTAATGTTTGATTTATGTAAGATTTACTGTGGAAATTCTACTTGTGGATAAGTGAGATGAATTACTGAAGTTCTTACATCATTTTTGTTTGTATTTCTACCTTTCAGTTAGGCTCCATTAAATCTGTGTGCCCTTGTAACAGCATCAAGTGTGGAGACATTTGAAGGTTATTTGGCAATAAGACTTAGTCAGTAAATAATGATGAAGCAAATATGGTGTGGGACTCAAAACAAAATATACATCACCAGTTCCTGTGTATCTTCTATCTTAAGAAGAGTGGAATCCATTTCTTTGCAGCGTTTCCTACTGTCTTCAAAGTTCTTCATTTCCCGTGAGAAATAATAACAGCTCTCTCCACAACATGACCAATTAACTTTATGTGCTCTCTTGTCCTTTTCTTGAAAACAAAAGACTTTCCTCAGAGATCACTCAGTGTGAACCTGAGACAAACATGATGACCTGAGAGATACTGGAATATTTTGTAGTCCTTCTAAAATCATTCTATTTTGTGAGACAGACGTGTTCCATTTTTACCTTTGGAAAGAACCCTGGCCTAGGAATTATTTCACATTACTCATGTCTTTCCAAGTTTATGTACAATACTGTTCACATGTTCTAGGAAAATTTTCTAAAAAGGTTATTACTGTCTCTCACACCCTTTACGGGAAGGACATTCTCCTGGGCAGAGTTTCTTCATATTCTCCAGAGCAGCAGCTACACCTACAAAGCAGATCTCAATTTAGTTCATAATCTAAGTATGCATATTTAATGATAAAAGAAAATATGATGAAGAAGCTTTGAGGGTTGTTTTGATAGCAAAAGTATTAATTTTGGAAACTGTGATGTAAAATAATATAGTATCATGCACACAGAAAACTCTTATCTTCTTGACTTCTGACATTGTTTCAATTGCATAAGAACAAAAGTTGGAGCACTCATTTAGTTTCTATAAGAAAATTCAAATTGAGGGCTGGGGGTTTAGCTCAGTGGCACAGCGCCTGCCTGGGAAGCACAAGGTCATGAGTTGGATTCTCAGTACTGGAAAAAAACAAAATAAGAAAATCCAATTGAGAAGAAATGGAGCATGAAGGCAACTGAGGAGACACCTGTTAGTCTCTGTCCTGACTCTTTCTCTACACACCTGTGCTGGTTTGTTCCGATGTGCCTGGCAGGCTTTGGACAGGGGATTCATCCTCTTGTGTTGCATTTTTCAGATTAGGCTTTGGGTCACACTGTAAAACTTTATTGTATATGGTTAGTTCAAGGAAAACAAATCAAGGGACTAAAGAAAAGGCACAATTTTAATTTGAGTGTGTCATTTCATTGTCAGGATTAAGGACTATTTTTACTCAAGTGCTCTTTTAGGCATCTATCTCTTCTTTGATCATGATTTCCACACCCACTTCTCATTAAAAACTACATTAATAATAAACATTTCTGGGCCTTGATGATGGAGCAATGAAAAATATGAAGCTCTGTTCTCAAGAGCTCACTCCTTGCCATGGTGACAGTGGGCAGCTGGACGAGATGATGAGTGATGTCACATAAAGTTACTGAGTGGTATTGAAACTGAGAGGAAAGACTGAGCTACTACATGTAGGTGGAAGATGACAGCTTGGCAAGGCCACACATGACTAAATGCTAAAGTATTAAGTTTCAGTTTAAATCCTGTAGTCTCAACATTTTTAAATTTTGCACCAAAAAGAATGTAAAAACAGTAAATTTAATCATTTATGTACTCTTTCTAATGTCCTTTATCATATAAAGTTTACTTCACAAGCCAGATTTTAAAATATCCTTTGATTGCTAGGAGAAGGTTAGACACAAGTGCAGAAATACTGGGTTCATAAAGATAAATTGGAAGCCATAATTTAAATTCCTTTCCTGAATGCTTTTCTAATCTGCAATCATATAGCTATATCATTTCACTGTTGATATCTACCTTGCTGTTAGCAGTTACTCAAAAGATCTTAAAATGTGCTTTCTTTCTCTTTACAGAACACTATAACCCCCAATAAAATTGTCAATTTCTTATACTTGATTCTAGTCAAAAGAACAAAAAACAATGAAGTTTTAAATTCCTTTCATTCATGTTACCATTATGCATGGAAGAAGAACTTCAGATTTGGAGACATCTTTGATTTACATTCCCTTTCAGTCTGCAACTAGTCAGCAGAAGAATCATGTTCAGTATTTTTTCTTTCATAGATATTGATATTTTTCTAATTTCTCAGTTTGTAATTCTTCTTTAGGTAAATGTTAGTTATTCTCTTGTAACATAGGCATATTCAGAACATTTATGAACTTAAGCAGTACCTTTGGGAAAACCTATGCTCATAACTTTCTGAAATGTTCTATGGTTTAGTTGTTACTTTTGTTTCTTTTTTTTTTTTGTCTTTTTTTTGAGACATGGTCTCTCTGTTTAGTTCAGGCTGGCCTTAAACTCACTTCGTACCTTGAACTCACTTTGTAGCCCAAGCTGGCCTGGATCTCACAGAGATTCTCCTGTCTTAGTCTCTGGAGTGCTGGAATTACAAGCATGCCCCACAACGCCTGGCTTACTTTTTGTTTTCAGTGCTTGCAATGTGATATAAATTATTCTCAATGTATTGGCTGCATGACTTCTTTATTTAAGTCTTAGGATGGCCTAGGCTGTTGGTCCTAGTTGCATGATAAAAATATCTCTCCATCTTTTTAATTTTTTTTCTTGTTTTTAGATCTATTTTCTCCTTTTATTGCAACCATTGCTTTTATTATAGAAACTATTACTAAATAGTTTTTTGAATTTCAGTTATCTTTATGCCAAACTAAACATTTTGCTATATTTGCACATCATACACAATTGTTCATACAATGTTTTAAGCCAACTATTGTTTAACTTAAATAAGTTTATTTTAAAAGAAAAATTTGTGTGATTACCTGAAATGGAAGATTTTGTTTTTTGGCATATCTTGCACAAGTAACATCTAATTGTTAAAAATGAATTTAACTTACTTATATTCATAGCTCAAGTTAAGAATAAATGTGTCACATCAAAAAACGATGTGATATCTATATATGCCAATTCCCCAGGATTAATGTAATTATCATGTACTGCAAATATAAACTAATAAATTAAAAATATTGAACCATAATCTACTCATTAAATTGCACTTGTAAAAAATAAATGCAACTAAAACCTACCATGAATCTTTTTGGAACTAAAGAGGAAAAATAGAAAAAATACTGCTTTATGAAGTCTTCTATGTATGTATTAATTCCTTAAAAAAAAGTACTATAGATTGGAGTCTGTAGGTAGTGGGATGGGGATGTGGCTTAGTGGCAGAGATCTTGCCTTGTATGCAAAAGGTCCTAGATTCAATCCCTAGCATCACACACAAAAAATACCTATAGGGAGTTAAGCACATCCTTCTATAGCTGAACATTGCTCTATGGTGAAAGGTATTAAAACTGCTCTATTGAGTGGATGTTACTGAATATACTTTTATGATTTGTCTTAGATTCTGTTATACAGCTATAAATCTTGTACCTATGGTTAACAGGGGCAAAATAATAGTTGTGAGAATTGGTCATCTAGTTTGTATTTGATGTTATTGTTATTACTGCTTGTAATACTAGAAGTCAAGGAGAGCTTGGGATGAAGTATTTCAAGCCCTAACAGAAAACAACCCCCCACCCAGAATGATGCACCCTACAAATTAGCTTTCTAAATTGATGTAAGAAAGTATAAAGATGAGACCACACATTAATGCAATTGTGGCTAAGAAAATGATACAAAGGATCAAAGAATTGGTTCTTTCAAAGATTAAATAAGTAGACAAACTCTTACCCAACCTCACCAAAACAAGGAAAGAAAAGAGCCAAATCCATCCAATTAGGAATGAAAAGGGCAAAATCACACTGGGTCCTGTAGAAATCCAGATTATCAGCAGTTACTTTGAGATCTTGTGTTTTAATAAGGTAGATAATTTGGAAGACGTGAACAGATTCCTAGATACATATGAATTACCAAAGCTGATATCAAGAAGACATAAAAATTCTAAATAATCTGGTATCAGTCAGTGAACTTAAAGAGGTAATAAAATGAAAATGTACTACCCAGGAAAAGTTCAATTCCTGATACAGTCACTGCTGAATTCTTCAAGCACTCTAGAGAAGATCTCATGCTACCGCTTCTCAAGCTCATTCATAAAATTGAATGGGAAGCAACACTCCCCAAATCATTGCTGGAAGCAAGCATCACCTTAATACCAAAACCAGAGAAAGACCTAACCCTAAAAGAGAACTGCAGGCCAAGTTCTTTAAGGAACATAGATGTAAAAATTCTCAATAAGATACTGACAAACAGAAAGCAGCAAATCTTAAAAAAAGTGAAATGCTGTGACCAAGTTAGATTCATCCCAGGGATGCAGGGATTGTTCAACACGCACAAATCAATAAGTGTAATACACCACATTAACATAACCAAAGAAATAAACCATGTGATCATCTCAATAGACACAGGAAAAGCATTTCACAAAGTCCAACACCCACTGATGATAAAAGCCCTAAAAATACTGGAATAGAAGTTGTTTATCTCAATCTGATAAAAGGCATCTATGACAAAGCAACAGCAAACATCATACTAAACGGTCAAAAACTGAAAAATTCACCTTAAAAGTAGGAACAAGACAAGGATATCCACTATCACTACTCCTGTTCAATATAGTTCTAGAAACATTAGCCAGAAGATTAGACAAAAGGAAGAAATAAAGGAATATGGTTAAGAAAAGAAGTTAGATTACCATTATTTGCTGATGACATGATAGTCGATATAGAAGACCCCAAAAACTCCACCAAAAGACTCCTAGAATTATTAATGAAATTCAATAACATAGAAGGATACAAAGTCAACATCGAAAATCAATGGCACTCCTGTACACAAATAACAAACTCACTGAAAGAAAAGTGAACGAAACAACATTTTTCGCAATAGTGTCACAAAAAATAAAATACTTAGGAATCAGTCTAACAAAGGAAACAGAGGACCTACTCATGGAAAACTGCAGTATTCTGAAAAAGGAGATTGAAAAGGACAGCAGAAATGGAAAGACATCCCTGCTCTTGGATAGGCAGAGCCAATATAGTGAATATGGCCATAGTCCCAGAACTGATGTACAGATTTAATGAAATCCAATAAGAATACCAATAGCATCCCTCAAGGAACTAGAGAAAGCAATCCTAAAACTTTTATGGAACCAGAAGAGACTTAGAATAGTAAAAGAATTCTGAGCAACAAGGGCAAGGCAGGGAGTATCTCAATTCCTGATATGAAGCTATACTACAAAGCTACCATGATAGAAGTGGACATGGTACTGGCAAATAAACAGACTTGTGGATCAGTGAAACACAAGAGGAGATGAAAAAACAACTCTAAGCACATCCAGCTAAGTTATCTTTGACAAAGGCCCAAACATCCTTACTGGAAGAAACATAGCCTCTTTAATAAGTGGTGCTGAGGAAAATGGCTCTCCACATGCTGAGGATTAAACTTAGACCCATATCAGTCACCAC